TGATTCAATACTTGGAAGATATGTATGAAAAAAGGTTTTATTAAAAGAAACAAATTCTGCTTGGATAACTTCTGCATCTTAAAAAGAATTAATTTATAACTTTCAAAGGAAAAATATCTTTAATACAAACTAAAAAAGAGTTTATTTATGAACATTAAAAGGATTTGTGTTAATGATACAACTTTATTAATATTAATGAGTGAATAAATTAAAATTATCTTTGAAAACATTTTTATGTCAAATTAGTAATGCAGACAGTATGTATATTATAAATAATGTTTTATTTTACTTTATTTAGAAATAAAATAAATAATTTTCAAATATAAATTATAACAAAATATAAAATTTCTAATAATTCATATACTAATATATTTTGGTACAAATGTGTATCTTCTTATGTTATATTTTATGCGTGCTTTTTTCTCTTTCACTAATAAATTTATATATAGTTTTTAATGTGTAAAAATACGAAAAACATAGTTATTTATATACAATTTTTAAAGATTTTAAATTTTAAATATCATGTAAAAAATTGAAAATTTTCAATTAAATTTTAATTTCTGTTATTTAGTTAAATGTAAACTAATTGCTTAAGAGAAAATTATTTTTCATTCGGAAAAAAAAATTGATTTAATTAGTCAAGTTAGAAAATAGTAAGAAAGTTTAAATAAACTTTTCATCCATGATGAATTTTTTCCTACTTACTTTTGTAAAAGAAATGTTTATTCCATGTGTTATATTTTATATATAATTTTAATTTTAGTAAATTGATATATACATATTAAAAAGTATAATTTCACCATAATAATTTAGATGTTAAGGTGATTTTAAATAAGTTTTTTTTTTTATAACCATAATATTGATATGAAATATTATTATTGATGACTAAACAAATTTTTACACATGAAGAGATCGAACATAAAATTTTCACTAAATTAGTCATTCTTATAATGTATGAATGCACATTATTTAATTATTTGGTCAACCCATCAAATTATTTTTATAATTTTTAAAATGAAATACTTTAAGAGTATTTATTTCATAAAATAAGATTGAGTGTTTTTTTTTATAGAAATTTCATTATCTTAATATAATAAAGGCTTAAATCTAATAGTCACTAAATTTTGTGCTTTTGTAATATTTACAACAGGAGAAAGATGTCATAATGGTAAATACGGGATTAGAATTCTTTACTTATAATTCAACGATATTTAAACTACGATAATAGATTTTTTTATATATATAAATGAAATTCATAATATATACACTTTTAATGAAATTAAAATTATACAAGTATTTGTTATTATTAAATAAAATATATTATTAATATATTAATAAAAAATTTAGTAATTTAATAAATATAACTATTTTGAATATAAATATAATTAAATAAAATTAATTAAAAATATATAATACAAATATTAAGTATTTAATTGGATTTTTTTGTCAGTAACATTTATATTTTTAATCTGTATCAGTTTATTGATAAGATTAAAATATGTTTTTATTCTTTCAGAGAAAATAAAGTATATTATAACTACTAATAATTTTTTAATATATTTAATTCTTTTATTATATGGAATCAAAAAAATCTCTATGAAAGAAATTAATATTTTTTTATATCATAAATACTACAATTTTTAACTATTCACTAAATTTAAATTAAATCAATCGATTTGGATGAACATATGCTTATAAATAAGAAATAAGAAATCTCCTATTGATGTCTTTTATAATCTCTCCATGTATCTGCAGAGGATGGTGTAAAGTGAAATTACAAAGTATCAGTAGTAAAAAAAAATATATCGATAGATATAAACAGAGGATAGGAAAGAAAAATATAAAATTGCGTCAACACAACGTTGAAAAGGGTTCAACAACTATATTCATTATTCGATTCTTCATGGGAAGGGAAATAACTTCATCCATTCTCTTAATAAATCTTTTTATTTATTATTTTTTTCATATCTAAATCATTTGTAATCCAAACAATCTAGTTGTCTATTTATAATATACAAAACTTGAATCGTAGGACATGAAATTACCATCTTATATTTCTTAAAATTATAAAGTGTTTCATATTACAATTAATTTGTATATATTGTTGTTACGAGAAGATAACAGCTACATTCAATCTTATATTATATTTGAAATTAGTCATATATATATATATATATATATATATAAATTTAGAAGGGTAAACAAAGTTACAAAAACATGTAAAATAATGAGGGAGAAGTTGTTTAAAATTAAGAGTTTATTGAAGAATGAACTCTTTCCATAATATCTTAAACTTGTTGAAATATTGCCTTTGTATGAGATCTAATAATTGTATCAGTCTTCTGAAACTTGTTATTCTAATCAGAGTATTCTTTATCATTAGGATAAGTGTTTTCAAATCAGCTTGTCCATATTCATTCAAATGTCTGATAGTAATCTTCATATACATATGTAATTAGAAGTTAATACTAGATATTTGAAAGAATATATAGAGTTGGTTCAAGAAAATTTATTTAAGATGACAAAATTAGTAAAATAAGAAATTGGTATGATGCAAATGATTCAAGAAGCTGACATTGGTGTCAGACTTAATGGGTCCACAGGTTAGTGTCTAACTTTTTTTCTGCATAATTATATAACACAAAATTAAATTTGTATTTTATAACATATATCATGAATTAATTTCTTGTAGATACACAAGATTATGTTCCGAAGCAATAACTCACAAATACATGTGGCCTATAACCCATTGTAAGTTGCAACATGTTCTCATAATGAAGGACATGATGTAGAATAATTTCAAAAAATATATTTTATCTATTTCTTTTCTCTTTTTGACTTGTAAGGAAGAGGGTTATGAGCCTCAAGAGAACACTACGTGCAAATTTGATATAGGTACAATCGGTATTAGGTCTTTAAATTAAATTGTACCCAATTCGTTATACTCTTACACTTCTTTTGTTTGTATTGTTGGACTAAATAAAAGCTAATATAATATAGCTAATTGTGGGTGGGGACTTTTTGTAACATTAAAAACAAGTGAGACCACACATTTCTAGTTAAGAATTTATATCATATGATAACATTGTTTTGAATTAATCAATAGTAGTATTAAATTTATTAAATTTACAAATAACTGTTTATACTAGCATCCATTATTAAAAATATTAGCAATAGAGAAAGAAATAATCTCTGCCTCAATGTTATAACTCTTTTCCTCTTTTTATTCTTGTTTCTGTCAAATCTACTTTGTCAAAATATTTATTTTCTTTTTCTTCATTCTTTGACTTTATCCCAGTCTCAATAGCACAATAAGTCATGAGAGTTTTTATTTATTTTTTATTTTTTTAATAATGGAAAGATAGGATTTTATTTTGGTTAAAATGTTTATGTTTGCGCTGTTCAATGCAAGTATAAAAGGTAGAGCTGTCAAAATGGGCTACCCGGCCCACCACGGGTTGGTCATTTGGTGGGTCAATCCAACCCGACTCATTTATCAGTGAGCTAAAAAAAATCGAGCCCGGCCCGGCCCACCACGGGTTGGTGGGTTAAACAGGTTGGCTCACCTTAAAAAAAATAATTTTTTTCATTTTTTTTCTTAATATACAACTAAAGTCCAAAAATTTAAACTTATTTTAAAAATCTGAGATTTTTAATTAAGACATTCTTAAATGAATTATTCATCCCAAACATTAAATGATAATTTTAAATACAATCAAATCAAATCTAAATAATCTCAAATAGATAAATATAATATAAAATTATCTTAAACTTCAAATACAATCCAAAATCACAAAAATTACAAATCACAATTCAACATTAAATTATTATTGTCTCATGTTGAACTGCACCATGACCCAATAATTATTGTATTTTTTCAAAAAAAAAATTTAATCACGGGTTGGTGGGCCAGCCCGACTCACCACGGGTTCAACCCGGGTGAGCCGGGTTGGTGGTGAGCCAGGTTCAAATTTGACCCGTATTAAAATTTTCAATTTTTTTTTAACCCAACCCGGCTCGAACCCGTGGTGAGCCGGGTTGGCTCGCCGGACCAAACCCATTTTGACAGCACTAATAAAAGGTAGTTATACCTCAACAATAAAATAATGTGCCTAATGTTATTATAATATTTTTGTTATTAAATGCAGTGTTATTAGATGTTAGGTAGAAAGTGATGAGAGACTACTTAATGCTTAATACTATGGACTTGTCAATCACATATCAGCATTCTCATATACTTGTCTAAAAGATTACAACTATTATTAAATAGATATATTCCTTCTTACAAATAAATCATTTAATAAAATAAAATAAATTAAAAATATCATAATTTAAGTATAATTTTAATAAATTATACAATATAAAATTAATCTAACTTATATGATAACAATCATCATAAGAAAAAGTCAGATATTATATTCCATATAACTTATCAAAAATAAACTATACATTACATGAATAATCAAACCTAGTTAGATATATATTATAATTTACAAAAAAAAATAAATTATACACACATATTATTTTGATTTTTAGTTTATATCAATTTATATAGTTTAATTGACTCATTGATCGAAAACTTCTACCAAGTCAAAAAAAAAACTTTTATTGAATCAATTATTAGTTATAATTTTTAAGATGGTTATTATAGAAATCAACAAATTTATTTTTTTTAAAAAGTAAAGAGAAAAAAGAACTACACTCCAAAAGTGTAACATTATTTTAAAAGTCATATGATAGTAATTTTTAATTGGTTGGTAGTGTAAAATTCACGTGCTTCAACATTAAACCCATTTTCAAAATGATAATTATTAAACTCAACATTAATAAAATTATAGTTATTACAATTTGAACCGATCTAAGTCCTCTCTTTAATTTATTTTAAGAGAGGTATTTTAGAATAGCAGAGTTGTGTATTGTTTGTATGATGTTGTCTCTGCTAGTTTCAATTATGCCACCATGATGAATGGCTTATGTAAAAAATTAGGAGAAACAAGAGCTGCCATGTGAGGGACAAATTGTTACTTGTGATGAGGTAATATACAGCATTATCATTCATAGTCTATGTAAAGAAAAAACTTGTAACTCATGCTAAGGCTCATCTAAATGTCCATACACAGTACATACCCTTGCTCTTTCATTTTGATAATTTCAAATGCCATAACATTTGGAATTATCATCCGTACCCTCCTTGAACATGATGAGAAAATGTACATATTTATTTTGCTTTTAAGTGTTTTTGTCTTGCACAACCCATGAAATTGATCTTTCAATTTCTTTGGTTGAAAATTCTATGATATTTCCCTTACTGCTCTAACTTATTTCACATTCTACTGTTGAGCCATTGAATTATGTCTCGAGTGATATCCTCTCGTTCAGGTTCAAAGAGAAGGTCATGTGAGAAGCCTTCATACAATTTGATAGTTTTGTCAGTTGAGGAAGCTTTCTCATACAGTTTTTGAGAAGCATCAGGATCGGTAACAGAATCAGCAGTGCCATGGAGAACTTGAAATGGAACTCTCAGTTTTCTTAAATTTTGTTGCAAGAAGTTTGTAATTCGAAGAATCTCATAGCCAGTGCGTACTCTAAGTGATCCTGTACATACTAGTGGATCTGAATATTTAGCAATTAAAGCCTCTGGATCTCGAGAAACTGGCAACCCCTTCTTATATGCAGTATTACATTGATATTTGGGCAGCAAAAAAGAAACTATAGGAGCAAGTGCCTGTCGTGAAGAAAATATAGCGGTCAAGAGTGATGTATGCAAGGATGCCATGTTTTATAAATTCTGATGTTCATGAAGATATCACAAGGCAAGTATTATAATCACGTAAGTTTGATGCTCACCACCAAAATTGGATGAGAAGCCTCAACTCCAACTGCTGGCGATGTGAATGTAGCACCAACAATGCTAGCTTCAACTTTTTTGTCAAGCAGTGTCTACAATATATATATATAGCAGTGAAAAGCTGAATCAATTTTTACAATGACTACCTTAAAAATCATCCCTGGCTTGATTTCTGACTGTTTGATAGTGAGACTTCATTTTGATAGTGTAAAGGGTTTTTACGTCCTCAAAATTTTGTAAATTTTTACAATAACTACCTTAAAAATCATCCCTAGCATGATTTCTGATTGGTTGATACTGAGACTTTATTATACCGTCACTGCATGCATATAAATTAAACTCTACACAAACCATACCTTAAGAGTAATAGCTGCACCTGTTGAGTGTCCATAGCAGAAACATGGAAGCCCATGATTTTCATTTAGAATCTTCTCAATAAATATTTTCTGTTTATCAAAAATTAAGTAGGGTATATCAGAAATCAGAACATATATAATTTATACATTAATGAAGCCTAGAAACATAACATAACTACTTCCCAGTTGCCACCCATTACATCTCTTTCTCATAAATCTGCTAACACAAAATGCAGACTTGATACATACATCACAGCCCCTTATATTTATACACTATTCCACAAAATTCTTGTAGTTTTAGAACATACCATATCCGATACAGCATCATCTAGAGAATGGACATACGCATGCAGACCATCACTTCCACCATGGCCTATAGACGTGTAAAGATAGCAGACAAAAATCAAGTTTGAGCTAATATTAAAGACGAAGGAGATAGAAATAAATAGAACACTATCTGCTGAATTAAAAAATAAAGCATTTAAGTTTCCAAGATAGATCACTAGGCAGGAATTGACATCCTGTGTTCCTGAAATTATCATCGTTGTAACATAAATATGCTTTAACTCGGGAATAAGAACTTAATTCACGGTGAAAAACTAAACAAGTAAAATTTAGGCAAGTACTTTGTTTTCATTTACATTCAGATCTTAGTCTAATTTCTACAGATAAAAAAACTAAATGCACAATACAAGACTTCTGTGATTTATTTGGTAGGATAACAAGAAATGCACGTGGTGTTCCTTCCAAATTGTAAAAAAAATAATGCACATGCCTATAAGAAAGACCACATGAACACCCAAAATCTCAAAACAAAAGCAAAAGAAGGGAAAATAACACTTATCCGTGTAAGACTCCTGTGATTTATTTGTAGTACTGTGCAATTGTTATTCTAAAATCCATACTTATTCAGACTTAAACTTGATGCAATGATGCGTGAGCTATTCTATTCTTAAACAAGTTAGGCTCATTACACACAGTAATATGCTTACTTATAAACAGGAGCTTCACAAATAGACATCCAAATAACTTAGCCATGCAACATCCAAATATAGATGCATGTTGAAGAACAGTGGCAACTAAACTATTTAATAAAAGGAAGAAATTATCATTTTCTTCTATAATCCAATGGAATAATCATATATATAAAAATGACACAAATTTGTCAAAAGAAAATTTTGTTCACAATTTCACTACCACTATTTTATCCTTATTTAACTGAACTGACATGAACAAGCTGAAAATTATTTTGTTGAAACTACAGAAATCTGGTCAGTGAATCCTCCTTTATAGCAAATAATATATAAGATGAAGCAGAATATACGACATGTTTAAAAAATTAAATGTATACCATCTTTCTCATGCTAATAGTACATGGACAATATCATGAAAAATAGCCCGTATATAGATAGCCCAATTAGGAAAACAAAGGATTTATTACCAAGCTTATGAATCAAATGGAATAGCTACTATCATTTCTCCACAATTCATACATGCTAATAATTTATAATCGGGTTCACACTTACCAATCCAATCCATCCCATAAACTTTGTAGCCATTAGCATTCAACTGCTTCGCAAAATCACTATATCTGCCACTGTCAAGGAATAATGGGGATGGCTTCAGGAAAACAAAGTATTGTAAAATCTTAATGACTTTAGTTTCTCTTGCATATCTCACTTTCTCTCTTTCTTCTACCCAACTCACTCTACAAAGGGTGTGAGAAGAACATCACCCCATACACAAATTACTAACCTGTGTTCATTAAGTCCATGCATAAGAAGAACGAGTCCCCTGCACAAAGTAGGTAACCAATTTTAGCTGTTCAAATTCTACCGGAAAGAAAGCAAAGTAATGATGTGTAGAATAAATTGTTAGTTTTAAGTTATGATTTGTATTTATTTGAGAAGGATATATTTATGGAGAGGAGTATTAATTATATCTTGTTATTGTATGAAGGCTTATTTTAAAAGCATTTGCACACACATTTCCACTTTAGTATAGATATTATCTATTATGAACTTAAATTCTAATTTTATTTTTGATTATCATCTAAAAGGTTTCTTTTTAATAAAATATGTGTTTATTTTATAAATTATTATTTCTTTTCATGTTTTTATAACATGAGACCTTAGAACCTTATTTATATCCAAACATAAATGTGTAAGTTGGCCTTAAAAACAGAAAGAAAAAGAAATTGGAATAAAAACTGTGCATGTTATGCTATATATCTTAATTTCCTTGTTTTCAGGAAATAAAATTTTAACAAGACACAGGATACAACATCAGCATAAAACGTCTAAAGATATAACAAATATATCCATCATTAATATGTATGCTCTTATTATAACTATGAAACTGCCATTTAGATTAGAATAGATTATGAAACTATATTAAATTATCCATATTCCATCCCCAGAGAGGAATTCAGGTTGTAGTTGGTATATATATTTTTTAATATAACCATATTATTGTTACAAAATATTAGTTTATGCAAAGGTAAATTTTGTTATGGGTTGCTGTGTGTTTGGAAAAACGTTAAGTTGAACGTAACCCACGTTTTTTCTAATTCATCAATATAGTTGCTTCTCCGTTTTGTACTTTGGAAATCGGGATTCTCCGTTTGAAGCTTCTCAAACGGAAATCCAAACATGCACTATACCTACCTGATATTATGAGAAACTGGTGTCCAACATTGTGTGAAAATGGTGTCACCCCTTTTGGTCCCCAAAAGCTGATACTCCCTCACACATCTTTGGTCATCATCCTCCACCACCCTCCTTATGGCCAACTCTCTCCTTGCCACCGCACCATCACTAGCACCGGCACTTTTCCTTGGCACCTTCTTTGCCAGCGACACCCTCCTCCGCCCTCTGAACGGCAGCAGCAGCAGCATAGCAACCGCGCATATCAACGTCAACAAGCTCTTCAACGCTCTCAGAGACAACAAGGCACTTTGTTTCAACATGAAGGCTTCTCTGGCCATTTTGCTCCACACCCTTTTGCTGTTGACGCCTCCTCTATCTTCTTACGTTGATTTCTCTTCTTTTCCTTCGCGGAAAATTGTTGAAAAAAATGAAAGAAGAAAGAAGAAAGAAAAGAGAAACGGTGGTGAGTTTCTGTTTGTTATGAAAAAATGCAGAATCCTAGATGATAAAAATAGCTTAGGAGGATGTGTTGCCAAATATAGGAGAAGCTAAAACTGGATGGTAATGATAAGTATGAGGATGACAAACACGATAATATATATATATATAATACATGCAAGCGTAAATATTTTGTATTACTATACTCCTTGTATATTATAATACATGCAAGAGTAAATATTTTTCACACTCTCATGGCAAACTATTATAAATATAAGGTTATTAATTTTCATAATAATTAGAGTTTTTTCACTCAAATAATACTATTTTAAATTTTTTTTACTCAAATAGTAACTGTATAAATTTATTACCCCAACTAGCACTATTTACTGTTCACGTTCAGAACGGGCGTTCTGATTTTAGAATGGGTCGTTCCAGATTAAAAAATAACACATGACGAACGGATCAGAATGGACCGTTCCGGAATCAAAATTAGCATATAAAAAGTAGAACCAGAACAGACCGTTCTTAATCCAGAATGGGCCGTTCTGACCTATAAATAAAAAAAATTTGGTTTGATTTTCACTTATCAAATATCATAACTCAAAAACTAACATCAAATAATTAAATTTATTAAATATTAACATTATAAATATAACTAAATAAATTTATTAAAATTCAATACAATAATAAAGATCAATGGTAGCGAAAACTGATTATGTTGTTCTTTAATGTCCATCTCTGTTTTAATCCTGCTGGACTTTGGTCGACCCTTGAAAGTTCTCTTGAACTCTGGATTTTGCCACAAAGTTGGACTAGTGTAAGTAGGCCAATAATCTTCATGTCGGAGCTCTCCAAACGGTCCTTCGTATACCTTTGCAACTTATTGTAAGGTATATATGGGGGATATGTAGGTTTGATAGTCGTGATGTGCATGTAAGCATGAAGTGAGTACATGCGAGCAATGAATATGAACTTTCTGGAACTTGCTGCAATCATACCACATTATATTTAGCCTCTGTAAATCTTCCAACGGGTGATCATGCGAACAAGGGATATGAACTTTGGAACTTTTCGCAATCATACCACATTTCATTTAGCCTTATTGTAAATTTTCTAGCGGGTCAAACTTCTCTCAAATGTTGCGTTTCTTCCAACTTTGTGGCCAAATCCAGAACTCAAGAAAACTTTCAAGAATTGGCCAAAGTCCAGCAAGATTAGAACAAAGATGGACATTAGAAAATAACATAATCGTGTAAAAAATTGTTTCTATTGTCACACCCCTAGTCACACTAGGAAGACATATCCAAATATTGGTTATGAGTTTAGTTTCCGCCACCATTGATCTTTATTGTTGTAATGAATTTTAGTAAATTTATTTAGTTATATTTATCATGTTAATATTTAATAAATTTAATTACTTGATGATAGTCTTTGAGTTTTGGTATTTGATAAGTGAAAATCGGAAAAAAAAATGGTTTGTATCTATAGGCCAGAACGGCCAGTTCCGGATTCAGAACGACCCATTTTGGTTCCACTTTTTATGTTCTAATTTTGAATTTGGAACGACCCATTTTAATCCATTAACCATGTGTTATTTTTTAATCTGGAACGGCCCGTTCTGAACGTGAACAATGAATAGTGCTAGTTGGGGAAATAAATTTGCACAGTTGTTATTTAGGTAAAAAAAAATTAAAATAGTATTATTTGAGTAAAAAAATTCTAATAATTATCTTTAAAAATCATATAAAAATGATTTTGAATTGATTGAAAATTTTACATACCAACTAGGCAACCGCCAACCGTATACATTGATAATACAACCTTATTAAAAACTCAACAAAAATGTGGTGTAAAAGAAAAAGAAGCAATTAATTTAAATAGGTAGATTGAATTCATAACATGTTTTGTTTGGAGGAGTTGAATTGAAGTGAGATTCTCTCCTTTGTATGTGTTTGCGTTTGGAAGAAAGGGAAGAGAGAGAATAGGAAACAAAGATTCGGTTTTGACTGGGGTGGTTTTTTTTTTTTTTTTGGTGGGAGTTCCTATATATGAAAGGATGAGACTTGGAATTTCAGAATGTTTGAAAGATAAAGATGAAGTTGAAGCAGTCAAGAAAATGACATGACAAAAGTGTCCATAAAGCGTGGAGCCAATAGATTATTGCGAACAAATCGTTGTATGAATATCTATATCTGACTACACGAATTCAGTTTTGGTCCTGTATGAAAAAATTAAAAAAAAAATAGAGGGATTCGGGGAAAAAATAGAAATGATACTTATACAATACATTTTACCATCAAGAAAGAAAAGTTTAAAAGCATAACAAATGATAGAGTTAGATAGCGACATTGGATGACATGAGTGTAGCAATTTGTGTTCGTTAATTAAATTCTTTAGGATTTAAATATTGGTCTTCGTTATAAAATAAATCAGATTAAAAAAGAAATATTTAATTTGTGTGTGCTTAGTGAAGATCCTGAACACGGACGGGTAAGATGATTGTCTAGGGTCCCATGGTTGGAGGGGCACCAATTTTTTATTTTATTTAGTCTATATAATATAAAAATTACATAATTAAATTATTAAAAGTTTATTAGAGAAAATAAAATAATTACGAATAATTAATTAAATTTTCCATTAATTCACAAAAATGTACCAATAATTTTAGAAGAATAAATCGGTAATATTATATATAAAAAGAAAAGTATAATATGCTATTGACTTTTTTTTTTTTCATGGTGTGAACTTCCGTAACAGTTAATATAAAATCATGAATGTTACGGCGGTACCCTCATAAATTGAGGTGTCTTATGGCATCTCCAATGAAAGCAACTCAAATACATTAAAAAATAAAAAAAGTGATTTTCAGTGTGTCATGTCAGTATTAAGCCACTCAAACACAAATTTACTCTAATAGTAAGAAACTTTAAAAAATTTAACTTTTAGATTTTTTTTTCTAATCATTTATGAACTAATTTTAAATTTTTATTAAAAAGGATAATTGTACTACAATGAAAGAAAATAAATTACGAGAAAAAATACACAATAAGTAGATATTAAAAATAAAATAAAACAATAGTAGATACATAGACATTATATAAAATTAATTTTCATCATTATTATTTTCAAAACGTTCCCAAATATGTTCAAGAAGATCCGCTTGAAATCTGATAAGGAACGGTTGCTTGAGGAAACAACTCTCTCTCTTCTTCAAGCAACTCATGTTGTCACGTCAGAGTTCTTCAATGGCAAGAAACCGGGGCTTGCGTTGCTTCATGGGACAAGCAACTCCCATTGGAGTTGCTCTTAGTACTATTTTTTTCACCATTAAATTACATGCTTCACATTCATATCGTATTCTCTTCACATTTCAACTACTTTCTCATATCATATTAGTTATTCAATAGAAATGTAAAAATATAATTTTAAGATCTATGAAACGTGAAGTGAAAAAATGTCTATAATACTTGTTTGATCCAACAAAAAGTGGGAGGTCTAAAATCTATTTTGTTTGCTCACCAATTTTAAATGTCTACAATACATCTAGTCAACTACTTGATACAAGTGTAAAACTATAACATGACAAAAAAATTAAATAAAGAATTAATTATCATTAATTTAAAAATTAACAGTTTCAAAACTCATTGAATTATGTGGGTATGGTGGAATGTCTCTAAAATCATAAATGAGAGTTATATTTAATTTTTCTCTTTTTCCTTTATCTCTATTTTTTTTAAAATCATGACCTATATTATTTCGATGAAATCTCAAAATCAAATTATGAATATTTACCTCACGAGCTTCTTTATAATATGTCACCATTATTGATCCATTTTTTCATTGCATAAAAGTTTCTAACGATAACTTATAACCTCACACGAGTGTATCATACATTTAGTAATTTTTTATACAACTGTGTGTTTAATTGTTCATGTATTTACACTTTTAGGCTTGAGAACTGAGGTAATTAGTAATACTCAAATATTTATGAGAACATTATTTTTTTCACTTTTACCCGTATCACAAAAAAAAAAAAAACTTAGGGTTGACCCTATGTGCATTCACAGTCTTTAAAGGAGATTAGTCACAACTTTTAGTTATAGTAGTGAATACTTTATACTAATATCATTGTTACAAAAAAATGATAAAGTTGAGAGAGATAAATAAAAAAAATAATCGTGTTTACTATATATATATATATATATGAGGAGGGTTCAAACGACACCGATGTAACTTTTACTAAGTGTTACACCGCTCAATAATTTGGTATTAAATGCGAATTTTGTAAATCTAACCGTTAAATTAAAAATTCATATAACTTTATATGTATATATCAAATTTTGTTAAAATTGAACAACAACTTGAGGGTAATCAAAGTGTTCATATTTTAGTAATTTTGAAATAAATATATTATGTCAATTTTGTTTTATAAGAATAAAGTATCAAATCATCTTGGATTAATATAAAATTTTGTATATATGATCTAAGAGTAAAGAACTTTCAATCTAATGGTTGGATTTACAAAATTTATATTTAATATAAAGTTATTGAGCGATATAATATTTAGTAAAAGTTATACCAGTATCTTTTGAACCCTCCTCTATATATATATATATATATATATAATGAGAGTATTAGGTATCAACTCTAGATTGTAATCAATTCCCTTAACTTAGTAGTTGTAAGGTTTGCCTAGGATACGAGAAATTGACTTGTTACTCCTAAAATCAATTGGTGTTAAAAAAAAATGCTTGATTAGCAGAAGCCATATCTCACAAGCATAAATTAATAGTCAGTTATCAACTTTGAAACACAACATAGATTATTAAAAACAAACTAAAGACAATTAGGAATTACTTTTATTAAAAGGAGCAGCAAACACTGATGGGGGAGTAGAGAGAATTCTTTTGTCAGAATTAGAGTTTGACTTTAGTTGTATTTCTTCTATCAATAACTCATTAACCACAACATCAACACTAGGAAAGGGAGATAGGTAAGCCCTTCAAAATCATCCCTTAGGGCCATCAAGAACTGAACCAAAC